GTGTGTGTGTGTGTGTGTGTGTGTGTGTGTGTGTGTGTGTGTGTGTGTGTGATGCGTGTGTGTGTATGTGTATGCTAGTGTGTGTATGTGTATATGCACGTCTGTTTGTGTGTATGGGTGTGTGTGTGTGTGTGTGATGCGTGTGTGTGTGTGTGATGCTAGTGTGTGTATGTGTATGCAAGTCTGTTTGTGTGTATGGGTGTATGGGTGTGTGTGTGTGTGTGCGTGATGCCCTTGTGTGCGCTAGTCAGTGTGCGAGCGTGTGTGTATGTGTGTGTGCGTGTGTGTGTGTGTATGTGTGTTGGGGTGGGTGAGAGAGAGAGAGAGAGAGAGAGAGAGAGAGAGAGAGAGAGAGAGAGAGAGAGGGAGAGACAAAGCGCGTTTGCGTGTACACCAGTATAAATGACGATGGGTAAAAGCCGTAACCTAAGACCAGCCAGAAGGCCCACATATTAATTACATCCCACGGACAGACAGAGATCTGCACACACACTGAAACAGTCAGACAGACAGAAAGACATACACACAGACACACAAACAAACATACACACACATTGTTACACAAACAAACACACACATAGTTACACACACAAACAAACGCACACACAAAAACGCATGCCGTTAAAGAAACACACAAAGTTACACACTTTTTTGAGTTTCGCAAACACACACATACGCTCTCTTACACTGACATAATTATACAAATACACACACACACACACAGAGGGAGACACAACATACACTTTCACAAACAAACACACAGACGCATACATACACGACCACAGACACAAACACACAAATGCAGACACTGACAAACACAGACATACACATACCGAGATTGATACACACAGAAGCACACAAACTCACACACACACACACACACGAAGGATATTTTATCCCATACCAAAATAAAATTTTAAAAATATAAATTATTTCCTAGAAGGCAAAAAGAGAAATTATTTATGTTTCACAAACAAAAATACAGTACATTTAAAGAAAATTTTTTTTAAAGGGGGTATTTCGGTGCAATGAGACAAGAGTTTTCCAACAAATCAGCAAAAAAAGTAGTTTGGCACCAAAAAAGGCATTTCCTTACCACCCCCTCAAAAAGTATATTCCATCATTAAAAAAATAAAAATATATGTAAAAACAAATGAGTTCCTCTCACAGGAAAAAGGGTACTTTCTATCATCACAAAGAAATTTTTGCCACAAGTCAGAAATGAGAATGTTTGCTGTTTTAAAAAGAAAAGACTATTTTGTCACTGGCAATAAAAGTATTTCATTAGTAAAAAAGAATTTCAATAACAACAAAAATTTAAGAAGTATTTTTCTCCAAAACAGAAAACAATTTGTATTTCCCCCCACAAAAAAATATTCCATCCTTAAAAAAAAAAGATCAAAAAAAGTTTTTCGACACCATAAAAAAAGAACATTTGTCAAGAAAAGAAAGTTTTTGGAAAAAGTATATTAACAAACAACAAAACATAGAGTATTATTTTCATTATTGAACAGGTAAAAAATCTAGTAAACGTAAAAAGAGGTAGGAGAAGAGAAGAAGTATAGTCGAACCAGCTCTATCAGCCACCTGTATAAGACAATCACCTGTACAAACAGCCACTTCCCCATTCCTCCCTTGGCGACTGTTTTACATTATAATGACCTCACTACCTCAGAATTACAGTTCTCTCTGCTCTGTACTTAGTGTTGAGAAATTTGACATAAAAATGTTGTCTTTCTCAACATACCAAGCTTTCTTCGAATGCAATTCTTTGATATCTTGATAACGACTCCGAACTATCTTACAATTTTGGTAGAGCTGACAGAGCATTTGGTTTCGCATGGCCTCATGGTCTTAATAACTCCAAACTGCAAAAATAAAAATGTCAGACAGAACTTTGTATTTCTGAAGTAGAAACCTGTCTATGACAAGCACATTTTTCCCCAACAATGGGTGGCCCGCCGTCTTGGACAACTTCGACTGTCTGCATAGACTGCATAGTGTAAGACTGCACCATATATATGCCATTAAGAAGAGTGACATAATGACAGTCTTACACTGAGAAGGAGGAGAGAGCAGAAGAACAGCCACCAGCCTCCCACAGCCACATACCTGATCCCGACATCTCCTGACTCATCAAAGACGGCGCCAAATCCATGTCTGTTGACTCGATAATCCGAGGGTATCCATCTGAAAAACAGTAGACACAAATATATAATTGCTGTGGATTGCTGTGGAACAGCAGTGTCTGAACTCATATGACGGCAAGGCTTCTACTGTTTGTTTGAGCACATTGACACAATAATGGCCATTTAGTGCTGGGAAAAAGTAAGACATGTTCCAGTAAACAGAAGCACATTGACACAATAATGGCCATTTAGTGCTGGGAAAAAGTAAGACATGTTCGAGTAAACAGAGAAGCACATCGACACAATAATGGCCATTTAGTGCTGGGAAAAAGTAAGACAGACAGAAACAAAAGAAGGAAAGCAAAAATGTAGGACCTACTAGCGGCATCCTCCAACCACTCACTGGCTTGGATTTGTGTGAGAAAGGCATGGCACTGGATTGTAAGAACGCTAAGCCTCCAGCCACACATACATTATCATCATCATCGTTGCCTTTTTCACCCTGGGTCAGGGTATAGGCCACGAACAAACGCTGTCCACCTTTCCCTAGCCTGGGCTAGCCTCTTGATGTTATTCAATTCCATATCCCACGGTTGCAGAAGCTCCTTTGTCTCTCAAGATCGAAAAATAAAAAGGCATGTCTGTTCGATACATTGATTGACAAGGGGTTTCACACTCACGGGCTGTGGGCCAATAGACACTCACAAGACAATGTTTTGCGGTCCCTATTCCACATCAAACTTCAGTCTTAGCACAGCCCTCCCTTATATGCTAAATGCATACTTAAATACTTGATGCGGCCCAGGCACATTTTCTAATTTAGTAAAAATTTACAGAGATACTGAGACTTCCTGTGTGTGTGTGTGTGTGTGTGGT